AATTACATGTATTCTCCCAAATATTCATTAAAATATGAGATAGTAAGACACCTCAGGTTTCTTTCTAAAAGATATTTTTTAAAAATCCTTGCTTCTTTCCCCCAATGAGGAATTATATAGAGAGCATCTTCTGTGTGGCAGACTCTAGGCTAAGGTCTGGGGCTACAGATATCAAAAACAAAGACACATCTATAGATAGACATTGATTTGCAACCAATAGAAGATTCCATGGAATTCTCATGACTCAATGGCCCCTCACTTCCTTCAACTATTGATTGACTTCTATGTGTGGCACTAAAGAAACAGTGGTGAACAAGACTGAGAAAGGGGCCCTTCCTTCATGGGACTTACGGTCTAATTCAAACTCCCTCCTGCCACTCCATGGAATGGAAAGTCAAAATTTTTTATATATTCAGGGAGAAAGGGCATATGCATTCATTAGTAGGTGGTGAGAGAAAAGGAGGAGCTGGGATCTGCCTTGAGACCTGTGCGGGTAGTGTCCCTTTTCCTTAGAAAGGACAATGGAAGAAAAGCCAGAACCTGACCTACCTGGTGCCTGACACTTGGCCTTGGGGCGACAGACAGGGAGAATTTTATGAGCTGATGCAGGTTCCGACAGGGAAAGATCCTCTTTTTTGGGCAACTGCTGGGACTGCAAAATGGCAAAACGTATTACTATTTTGAATGAGAAAAAAAACTGTGACAGAATGACTTTGGGCACAGAGCAGTGGGTTGTTTCATCGGGTTGAAGGTCTAGGTCTGACCTCCTATAGAAGAGGGTCAGTGGTGAGGCCTCTGTAGGAGCCCCTTCTCACCTTCCTTCCTCTGTGGCCCCATGAACAATGAAAAAAGAACTTGGGAGGGCCGCCCCAGAACCTCCATGGCAGTCTGGCCTTAAACTGCTTTTCCTCTCTCTCTCAGCTTGCTTTCCTGACATTTCCTGTACCCATCTGACTTTTTGTGCAGGAGATAGGTGGGTCAGGCCTAAAAGGGGCTCACAATGGGATAATGGGATAATTTGACATTTAATCCGTTCTCACTTTAGGAGCTGCTTACCTCTGTTCCACTTCCTCCTCCATTTTAGGTGACAAATAAGCAAACTATGCAATGCGGGGTGGAGTGGGGTGAGGGGTAGGTGGTTCACAGGCACAAAGATATTTGGGTATTAATTATCTTCCATGAGTGCACGCTTGTCTTCCTCATGCCCTGCATATTTAGGTGCGGAAAATATTGTGGGCATCAAGAAATCAGGAGGGGAGGCAAGGCATAAGAATGGGACATGTACACACAAGTGTAGTTTGGTATTCATATGCTTCTCTCCGTCCATTTCTGCTTTCCCTATATCCATATTCTACCTTTACCTTCAACTATTTCCGTACGAAAAATCTGGTAGGAAATAAGGGCGAGAGACGCAGAGAGGAACAAGACTAAGGTTTTTGATATTGATAAACAAATCAGACCAGAGCATCCTTCCAGACGCCCCTATTTCGTGTAGAAAACTGAGGGTTTGGAGGGGATTCTCTTATGAAAGGGACACAGTTTTTGGAATAGGTGAGAATTTATCCTCCTCTCAGACTCCAGCCTCTCTTCCAAACTTCGTACCTCGGCTCCCTCCCCCCAACCCGCCCATTTCGGTGAGCCTAGCGCTTTGGAGAAGTGAATGTGCAAAAGGAACACTTTGGTATCCGTCCGCCCTGTCAAGCCGCGGCTGATTCACTAACGCCACCGCCCTAAACCCAGGTACAGTTCAGTTCGGAGTTGAAAAAAATGTAGGCTTGGTAGGGGGAGCTCCCCAAAGAGGAGAATGCCGGAGACCCTTTGATGTAAGCCTGCTTCTCTCCGTCCAGAGCTGCTGTCTCTATAACCAGACCCCGCCCCTGCCTGTTCCAATACGAGAAACTGCCCGGGTGGGATGGGCGGAGCTCACTGACAGAAAAGTGCAAAGATGGTATCAGTCCGCGTCCATCAAGCCGGATCCCTTTAAACTACACTAGCTCCTCCCCCAGACGGTTTTGGTATTGGGGACGTGGCAAGCAGAATCTGCGGAGGAAAAGGTAGCTGTTATTTTAGTCACTAGGAGCTGGTCCTTGAGGAGCACTAGGGACGGGAAGGAAAAGGGAATACCAAAAAGTGACTATCGTTTGGCAGTTACTGCTCTTAATCTGATAAAGCAGGTGTCTCGTCCCAGGTGCCGGGCCAATCCCCAAACACAGTCGCCGCCATTTACTCGTGTCCTTGTGTCCATCTGACTGTCCGTCCCTCTTTCTGTAGGGCACGGCACCCTTTGAGACAAGGAAATGAGAAAACTGCCCCTGATCCAAGCAGAGCAGGTCAGTGAGAAGGTGGGCATCGTTTGGGAGTGCGGATATGGGTATCAGAGATGAATGTGGGATACGTGACCTGGTCATGGGGCGCTGGCGGTGAGAGAGAGAGAGGGATAGAGGTAATTTGAGTGGCACGCAACGATAAATTTAAAATGATCTGTCTCTTGCTTGATTTCAAGACCCTCGCCTAACCTCCGACCATGTTTGGGAAAGGAGGGGAGTGTAATAGCGGCTTCTAGCGGATAAATGGCGGATTACAAATAGGAGGA